TGAATGCCTTGCTATTGGGCAAGTTGTAATTATTATATCTATTCAGCTAGTACAGGCTATGTTTAACGCTGCCAGGAGACGTAGGGAAATAAACAATGTTTTTGCGCGTTTATAACATCCGGGACGAGGCAGAAAAGCGGAAACAGCTGAACGTCACATGAGGTAAATATGCGCTACGTCAGAATTTATTCGACAAACATGTTTCCATCTCCCGTTTTGTTCATTAACTACTTTGAGAATCATCCAAAAAACCACCTCAAGCAAGAGTAAAAACTTCTTAGTGAATTGTGGGATTTTTTTTTTTTTTTGAATTTTGCCGTTTCCATCCGACTTTTTTTTTACATTTTTAATGCGACACTTCTAAATGCGCATCAAAAAGCCTTGATGGAAACACGGTTACTAAGTTGTTCACACACACGCACACACACACGCACGCACGCACGCACGCACACACACACACACACACACACACACTACAGTCAAGGGCTGAAAGCTTTAATGACTAAAATCTCTGAAAACTCACCTGCTGACCATACAGCACACCACCAATGGCTCCAGGTGTGCGGGTCTGCATCCCCATGGGGTACCTCTGAGGCCCAGGAGGTCCATAGCTCTGGCCTGGGTAGGAGCCACCTCCCTGCTGGGCTCCGGGCCCTGCAGGAGGCCCTTGCTGATGCTGGGAGTAGGGGTTAGGTCCTCCATAAGGCTGGCCTCGCATCTTCCCAACCTGATCCATGGGGCTTGGAGGCTGCAGGACAGAAAGACACATGAACATTTGATTTAGAAGAAAAGTCAGTTACGGTTCAGGGACTAATGATTTCTGCTTTTCTTCTGACTGTGTGTGACCCAGCAGGGCCATATGGACAAGAGAGAAAAACAAAAAGGCTAAATCTGGCTCATCTTTGTCAAGTATTTACAAAAAAAAAAGCCTTAGTCAGTGCTGAATACAAATAMTGACTGTGCCAGTGCATTGTGTGTGCAAGCATCATGTCATAAAGCCGTCACAGCAGAATCAGACAGAAATAGAACAAAGAGCCAGAGGGGGAGGAAGGAAAAATGTGGAGGATTTACTTTCTTACTAGAAAAGAGGAAAAAACTGGCAGTGAATGAATGAACAGGCCCACTCCATCAGCCAGGAGCAGGTCCTGCCCAGGAGAGGGTGGAGACTGTTCCAGCACAGACTTTACACAAGCTTTTTATGACAATAAAGTGTCACAACTGCAAGTGTCTATGACTCATCTACAGAGTTCACACGACTGCTCTTACAGCTGGTGTCACTTTCTCATCTGTGAACACCTGGAGCTGGAACCATACAGTGAGTAAACACTTCCTCCTCCTGAGGAAATGAACGTCAACAGAAACTGTAAAAACTGTCCTCCTAACCAAGTTTTAAACCTTATATCAGCCAAAAACTGTAAAAACTGTCCACCTAACCAAGTTTTAAACCTTATATCAGCCAAAAACTGTAAAAACTGTCCATCTAACCAAGTTTAAAACCTTATATCAGCCAAAAACTGTAAAAACTGTCCACCTAACCAAGTTTAAAACCTTATATCAGCCAAAAACTGTAAAAACTGTCCACCTAACCAAGTTTAAAACCTTATATCAGCCAAAAACTGTAAAAACTGTCCATTTAACTAAGTTTAAAACCTTGTATCAGCCAAAAACTGTCAAACTGTCCACCTAACCAAGTTTTAAAACCTTATATCAGCCAAAAACTGTCAAAACTGTCCACCTAACCAAGT